AAATCTAAGAATGTAAAAGATTTACGTTGTTTGGTTTGATTATTTAATGTAAATTGTAGAACATTTTTTGAATATTTTGCAGCGTACTATGTAAAATATTTTATGCGGGGTGGTGGTGATAAAATACTTTGCATACTCTTTATGAAACACTACAACGTCTTTGCGTGCAATTTAAAAATAAATTGTATATCTAGCCATATAATATACGTAGTAAGTTATTTTACATGCAAAGTAATTGCTTTCCCAAACTTTGTATGACATCATTTCCCATTCAAATATTTAACATGTAAACAATCACAACATTGAAAGAAAAAAGAAAGAAATAGAATTAATTGTTTTTATGTTCCCATCTCTCATGACACACACTCGCGCGCACACAGACATGATGACAGTTCATATCAGGAGCTCCTGATCAAAATTGCATTGCAGAATTCACTGTTTGCGGTGGTTCACAGTGGAATTTTTTGAGCACGTTCTTCATTAAGTCTAGTTTATGCATATGAAATTTCAGCTCAAAATTCAATCGAGAAGACTGTTAAATAAATTATTAAAATATACCGCGCTTTGTGGATGTACATAATGCGCGGTGTGTTTCAATAATTTAGTTAACTACCTTCCCGATTATTTTGAGCTGAAATTTGGTATGCATAAACTAAACATTATAAAGAACATGCTCCGAGAACCACCTCAAACAGTGAATTCCGCACAACGGTTCCAATCAGGAGCTCCTGACTCGAACGGGACTCTCTCTCTCTCACACACAGAAATGCTCAGGTCTAGCCGGAGGGACGGGAGCCGCCTTACAAACTCCGCCGTTTGGGCAGTTCCCGGTGGAATTAGTTTTTGATGAAATTGTTTGAGCATGTTCCCCATCAAGTCTATTATATCCACAAAAAAATTCAGATCAAAATTCAATCAGGAAGTCAGTCAAATAATTTTTTGAAGTTGACTGCATGTTCTATGTATAATTTTGCTCAGTCAACCTTAAATAATTATTTGACTGACTTTCCGCTCGATTTTTGAGCTGAAATTTTTTATGGATAAACTAGATTTGATGGAGAACATGCTCAAAAAATTTCATCAAAAAATTTCACCGGGAACCGTCCCAAATGGCAGAGTTTGGACGTCGGCTCCCGTCCCTTCGGCTGGACCTGAGCATCTCTCTCTCTCTCTCTCTCTCTCTCTCTCTCTATATATATATATATATATATATATATATATATATATATATATATATATATATATATATATATATATATAGGGGACAGTTCCTGTGAGAACACCCTTTCAGGAGAGTAAAAAAGAACTCCATCCTCCCATTGAATAATATGATCGGGCGGCTGAGAAGGTGCATAGGAATTTTTAAAAAAGCACGCCTACCATCACGTGATAGGACCGAAAAATGGAATGAGTGCAAGAGATTAATGATGAAAGGGCATTTAAGACAAAGCACATAGGGTGGCGGTTTGGCAGGTTTAATTAATGGAAAGACAATCCCGGTAATCGTGCGCGAGAACCTCGAAATATTTCCTTCCACCTTGCGCAAACTCCTCTCTTCAATAGAACTCCACTCGGCAAATATACTACCAAAGCTTCAAGGAAAGTCCAAATGGTTTCTGAAACCCTAAAGACGAGTGCAGCAACAGCGAAGAAGGGAGGCGGAACTGAGGCGGCAATGAGGACCCAAGGCGACGAAGAAGGTAATTGGTGTATTCCAAAAATATTTCCTATGGTTTGCATGTATGGACTCTCGATGAAAGTGTGTGAAGTGAACCTTCAATTGTAAAGTTGTGCACAAAAAATGTATTGTTGTGAAATTATATAATGGTAGAAAACGAACGATGCCAAATTTGAGGTTATTCTGCAATGTATTTGTTAGTTTGAGATGATATGGGAAAAAAGTGCATCTATCAGATTGGGAGAGGCCACGTTTGGTGTTTTATGACCATGATGAGAAAGAATGTGTTCATAATAGCATTAAGTGCATTATCTTGTATGTGTTATATGTATTGTGTTGATTGTGTGTTGTTTTAATTAAAAATCATGCAATTGTTTAAAGCAAGTCAGTGCACAACTGCCTCCTCTGTAAATGTGCGGTTGAAATCGTCTGGGGTGCATTTTGTTTGAGTAAGGGTATTGCATTTATGTTGACGAACTTAAGTAAAGCGTAATGTGTAGAGCAAATTAGTTAAAGTGCATTAGATGATAGTTAAAGTTCAATAGGTACTTACCTTTGGTGTAATGTATGGAATAACAGATGATACAAAAGTGAGATTGGATTACGTTAAAGTGCATTGGGTGAGACCATCGGTGTGTGGGGTTTCAAGTTGACAGGGGAAATTACTAATAGTGCAATTCGTAAGTCTTGAATGTGCATCTGTTTTAGGAAACTGATCTTCAATGATGCAAGGGAATTAGATAGTTTATAAATAGCATTTTACAGCATGAATGATGCATTCTGTGGTTTTGTGTAGTATATGTGAAAGTGCACTTGTTTGTTGTTTAAAGTGTATTTTAACTGATTTAAAAGCGTAGTTCTTATAAATCTGTGCAAGTGCAATTTATAGTTAATAAAGAGCACTTTACATCATCAAGGATTCAGAAGTGTGGATATTGCGTGTAAAAAGTGAAAGTGCATTATCATATGTTTTTTTATGCTTAATATGAATGCATGAATTACTTATAAAGGTGCATTGTAAAATACCAATTTCAGGAAAGAGGGAGACAAGAATGCAAGTTGCTATGAAAGAGAAGGGGAAAAGAGCAGGTGCGTCTCATGAGGGTGAAAACGAGCAAAGTGGAGTGAAGAGACAGAGGAAGATAGTGCAGGAAGAAGAAAGTGATGATGATTTTCAAGTCCAAGCGGTTGAAGGTGGTGAGGTAAATGAGAATGTGGGAAAGAAAAGAAGTATCAAAGAGATAAAATCAAGCTACAGCACAATACGCACAAGATCATCACCACATGTTTTAGTGAAAGCTATGAGTGTGATGACAGATGCTCAGAAAGCAGAAGTTAGAGAAATGGGATTTGGTGCACTTTTTCATATGGATATTGCAGAAATCCCTGGCAGGCTCGGTTATTGGGTGGTGGACAGTTTTGACCCGAAAAAATGCTCATTAGTGCTGCCATGTGGTACTAAATTGCGTATAACAGAGGAAGATGTGGCAAGAGTCCTGGGGTTCCCTTTAGGAGGAACAAAAATTGTGCAAAAGAAGAAAAACGAAGAGTGTTCTTTGTTGAATGAATGGAAAGCTATATTTGACAAACATGACTCCAAAATCAGCCCATCCGATGTTAGTGCCGCGATGCTTAGTAGACGTGAAGGAGGTGACTGGTTTAGAAGACACTTCATTGTTCTTGTTGTTTCTTTGCTACTTGACAGTACACAGAACGGGTATGTCAATGCACTGATAATGAATCATTTGGAAGATGTAGACAAGATTAGAGAACTTAATTGGTGTGACCATGTTGTTAATTGTTTAATTGACAACAAAGTCTCTTGGGAGAAGAAGAAAAACAAAGCCTTTACTGGACCTTTGCTGTTTTTAATGGTAATTCAAATAATTTTTTTATGATTAAAGCGTTTTAACTATTATTTGCCATTATCTGTAATCTGTAAAGTACATTAATAAACATTTTTGGTGCAGTTGTTCTATGTGGACCGTGTTTGTATATACAGACGCAAAGTGGATAGGACTATACCAGTTGTGAAAGGGTGGAATGGAAAGCAATTGAGAGATAGGGAATTGCTGGAAATAGAGACAGGCGGGTTTGGGATGGGGTACTGTGATACAAGAAACCTCAAATTTATGGGAGAAAGAACTATCTTAAAATGCACAAATACATGAATTTGTATATACAGTTGTATCCAATCCAATTGGATATTCCCCAATGAAGGGTGAGTGGGCAGGGACACAGATTGGGGGTGGGGTGTTGTGGGTAACTATTTTAGACGGAGAGTATTAGAAAACACAATGAATAAACATATTTTTGATTTTTCCCTTCTAATTCCGATAAAAAAAACAGAATGTTTTGCATTAAATACTTAATTTTTAATTTTGTATGCTGATTCGTGTCATAATAAAAAAAGTTTCTTCCGTCCCGCAAAGATCTTCCTGCTTTCTTTTTTAGGTGTCCCAAAATGAAGTTCTCATTTCAAAGTTATCCTACATCAAAACAGTGTCAAACAATGCAAAACAGTGTCAAATAGTGCCAAATAGTGCCAAAAAGTGCCAAATAGTGTACTCTACAATAAAGTCAAATTTATTTCCTTAATATGTGTGTAGGTCAAAGTAGGAAGTTCTTAGCGGGACGAAGGAAGTAATATTGAAATTACTTTTTTGGATACATTGACTAAAGTTACTGTAGATGACCATTTTAACTATTATTCATATGATTTTATCTTTATTTTATTAATGATATATTTTAAATATAATTTTTTCATATATTAACAATATCATTCAAACTAATTACTACAGCCAGAATTTCATACATATAAGCAGAATCGACCGATTCAATCAATTGCAGTGTTACCAAACGGGTTCTTAATTTGTGATAGAGTAACATAAATACTGTTTATATATGCCGCATGCTTATTTAAGTCTGATTTAAGCAGTGTTTGGGGTAGATTAAAAAAAGTGTTTTTCAGCTTTTGGCTTAAAAAAAGTTGAAAAGAGTGTTTTCAAATGATAGCTTTTGCTTAAATTAATCACTTAAAAGCTAAAAGCTCGAAGCAGGTAGAAGGGTGCTTTAAACTGCTTCTCACTTTTTCTATTACACAAAAAGTACTTATTTTACCAAACACTACCAACTTTTACTTTTTCAGAATCACTTTTTTCTCAAACACTACCAACTTTTACTATTAATCACTTTTCCCAAAATCACTTTAAAAAATCACTTTTTTAAAGTGGAAGCAATCGCAAACACTCCCTTATACTCCTAATTGTAGCAATTTCGATTTTGTTTGTTGGCTTGATTTGTTGAATCACATATATTCCGAGCAAATTTCAACAGTGCACTTTAAACAGTATTATTATCCCATTATCTACTGTTCCAAGAAAACAAACTCATTCTTTCAAACCGCACTCCCAAAAACATGCAAATATTGTGTGAAATTTCAAAAACTTTCTGAAATTTCTCAAAACTTTTCTGTTTGGAAACGACAAAAACTGCAGAAAAAGCCAATCAAGAGGGAAGAAGAAGAGTAGGAGAGAGCCAGTGAGTGCTATAAATGAGGGTGGGAGGGATTGGGTTCTGACAAAACCAAAGGCATCCACGTGTCCACCTGCCCACCAATCCTGGAACCGCACTCACTCTGGCGTAGCTGGCCCCTCTTCATCTTCCTCCCTGGCCTCCTCCCCCACTGAGCATTTCTCTGTCCATTTCAAGTTTCAGTCTTTCCTCAAGGCGTAAAAACCTCACTCCTTCTTCCTCTGCTGCCTTGCCTTTTCTGGATACAACGAAGGTAATCTGGGAAGGGTTAGTTTACTACTTACTACGAAGCATATAGTATTCTGCTCCTTTTTTTGTTCTGGGATCGTATTATTTTAAGTACCCAAGTTGCCATGATTGCAAATTTTCCTTTTTTTGGAGAAGCAAGACTGGAATCTCCAAATTTGTGTGAATTTCGGCTGCCAATCATATCGATTGCTTGATTTCTTCGGATTAGAGAATTAAAAAGACTACCTTTTTCATCGTTCTTTTTTTAAATTTCTTTTGAAGTTCTCTTCTTCTGTGCAGAGCTTTTTAGATTTTGCTCTCATTCTATAGGGGGTTTCATAAAAGAACCTTTCTTGGAAGGTCTCATAAATGGTAGCTGGGGTCTGGGGGAGTAATGTGGAATTTATTGATAATTGCACGTGTTACGTGTATTATTAAAACACTGCCTTGTTTATACTTTATAGAGTGGTAACACTTGATTTGCAATTATTGATGTATTTTTAATACTTCGTAGTAATTACCCATTGGGTAATTACTTTGACCAATTCATTTCAGCATTCTATTGCTCCCCACTATTTGTTGTGCGGGTAAAAGTTACTGGATAGGCCAAAAGAGAGAAAAAATATTAACTCTGCGTTTTTATAATTAAAATAATTCAAAAAAAATGCCAGACCCTACCTTTTCCTTATTTATTATTCCGTACAGTTTACATTCTAAGACGACAGGAAACTGTGTAGGTAGAGTCTGGTTATATGTTGCTGTATAATTATTAATATTATTATTGTTATTATTTCACATGTGTTTTCCATGTTTATAGTGTGTTATGCAGTTAGTTTGAGACATTTAACACATCTTTACCAGAAATACCAGGCCTTTGGGTGATTGCTTTTAGGTGAGAGATCAACCTAAGAAATTTATAGAGTGAGGCCTGAAGAACTTTCCCTGTGAATGACCACTGGGTATTTCATATATGCAGTGGATTTCTTTTTATTGCAAGCCTGTGCTGATTTTAATACTTTGACATGAAATTCAAGTTCTTAGGGATGACCCCTTATTGTGCATATTCTGAGGGTATTTGCAGTGTGCTTGTTATTGCAAAAGCTACCGCTGCTTTTGATACATTGAAATCAAATTCTTGTTCTCAATTGGCATGCTTTCTTATTCCTCATTTCTTGTTTGAATCATTTTTTGTCAGTTTTTGGCTTTTGCAGATATAAAGGTTTGTTCCTTGTGTGCTGTATGAGGATAAAGATATAGTGAATCCATTTCATTCGACAACTTGTTTTATGAAAATGGAGTGGGATGCTAAGTGGGGATGGGAAAAGCTTGCTATGCTTGGATCCAATGTTTGTGAAAGTCCCAAAAAGATGCAATTAGCAGGCTGGGGGTTAGTAGACGCTGCTGAAGTTGATCCTGGATCCTTTGGTTTCTCAGGAGAGGGCGGGGCCAGCAGTGGCAGCGGTGTATACGGATCTTCTGAAAAAAGCTCAGTTTCTGCTTCTACTGACTCATCACTGAAGAAGGATGGGATGGATTCATCCAAGTTTACTTCTGAAGGCTTTCCAGGAGACTTTGAGAAGAAAATGGAACAGTCCACAGCTGAGGTATCTGTAGAACCGTTTATTGGTCTGAAGCTTGGTAAGCGGACTTATTTTGAGAGAAACTGTGGTGGAAACAACGTAAAGAGTGCATTAATGGTCAAGATCCCTATGCCGTTGACCCCTGTGGTTAAGAAACCGAAATCATCTTCTAGTCAGTGTGCACCCATTCCATACTGTCAGGTTGAAGGTTGCAAAATTGATCTTTCTTCCGCCAAAGATTATCATCAGAAGCATAGAGTATGTGATATTCATTCCAAATGCTCAAAGGTCATTATAGCTGGTGTAGAGCGTCGGTTTTGCCAGCAGTGTAGCCGGTATGCTCTTTGGAACATTAGCTTTTTATTGTCAAATAAAACTGGCCATGGAAGTACTGATTACGAACAGCCCATTTGGTGAGCTTGAATAAGCTGAAAGAATCACCGAATGCCCTGTGATTTGGCTGACTCCGTTGATGATCATTTTCTGCCATAAAAATCAGCCCTACCCTAATTTATTTGCCTTAATTGGCTTATTTCAGCTCAAATGACACAACTTCCCCTTTTTGTAATGTCTGAGTAAAAAACTTATCACATATCCTTTTAGGTAATTAGATAGTCAATTATTTCAGCAAAACAGATCACCAAACACTTTTTGTTCAACCAACTCAGTTGATTCAACCATTTCAGCCTATGCAACAACCACCAAAGGGTGTCTAATTGTGTTGTTGACTATTCAATGGCAGCCTATTTAACAACCACCAAACGGTGTCTAATCATGTGGCATAAAACATGATGTGCTTCTTCATGTTCCAGAGTTCAGCTTTGATGTTTAGCTCAGTTCTCATTGTAAATCAATAATGTGATTTGTTCTCACTTGATGAAAGGTTCCATGGCTTGTCTGAATTTGATGAAAAGAAACGCAGCTGCCGCCGTAGACTTTCTGACCACAATGCCAGGCGCCGCAAGCCACTATCTGGTCCCACCCAGTTTAGTTACATCAGTAAGTTTTTTCACCTCTTCGCGATATAATTCATACTCCGGTATCATTTATCTGTGGACATTCTTATTACAGCTTTAAATCGAATCTGGGAAAAGAGCATTAATAACGTGTAGTAAATTTCTTCTGATATAGTCATGTATATAATCATAACAATGTATCCAATATGATTTCCTGTTCTTTAACTTAGATGTTGTGCAAGTATCAGGGTTTAACAAATATGATTTCCTGTCCTTCAACTCGGATAGTTTTTTACTTGAGTTAAGAGTAGCAGTTCATGGCAATCCTAGGTGTGGTTCCAAATACTGCTCGGTGGCTTAACTTTTTGCGCGAAGTGGTTCCTATCTTTGACATTGTGTCATTTTGGGTCTTGCAGATGGTAGACCACAGATGAATTTTGTGAACCAATTCACACTTTTGCCCTCTAGAACTACTGCAAATTCAACCTGGGACAACAGTTGCACGCCCAACATGAGTAAACTACAAGACATGGCAGGGATCCGGTTACCAAATGCAATCAATGCATCCAAGGGCACCATATCTGAGGTCTTCGATCAAGGTTTGGTTCAATACCTACTCAAGGATAGGACCGCATTTTGGAAATGGGGAAAAGAATAAGTATACCTTTGAACTAGAGAACACATATATTCCCCAGAACTTATTTCTGAACAATTAAACACACATAAAATTCTAAAGTTAGAACTTATATACCTTTGAACTATATACGAGAGAGCATACACACCCCGGAAAGGCGAAACCATTGGACATTGGACATAACAGCATATCTGTTCCAACCTTAAATGTTTTATATGTAGTTTTCCTAAAAAAGTTTGGGGGTATATTTGTTCTCTGGAAAACCTCTTTGTTCTCCCTTTTCCTAAAAAAGTTTGGGGGTATATCTTGATGCATCCATTTAATTACTGGTAGGAAAGACAGAAATTTCTATATCCTATGGTGCTTTTAGTCTAAGTGCTTTTTGGACATTTGTTTCTATTTCTCGGTCAGGTGCCAAACAATCTTGGTTCCCTTCAAGCGGAGGCACGAAACTGGAAGTTCCTCGTGCTCTCTCTCTTCTGTCAAGTACTTCCTGGGGTTCATACCAACCTGAGTTGATTTCACTTGATAATCACCCCCCAACTCTACCTGCTGCTAATCAGTCCAGCTCAGTGGAGCCATTGATGCATTCTGTCCCTCAAAGCCTACTCATGTCTTCCCCAGAATACCCGCAAGCTGAACATCACTCTACTGATTTTCATGGACATACCTTGGCAGAAAGTACTACCAGCGGTGGGCAGGTCCAGCTTTTTAAAGTTCCCCATGACACAGACTTTTATTTCAACTAGTCTGTGTTGAGTTTTTGAAAGTTCTATGAAATCATTCATTCCCTGGTTTACTCTAACCTCTTTTTGTTCACTCAAGAATCAAGATGGTCTCTTCAATCAAAAAATGCTAATATGTTTTACTTTCAAAGTTATGTGAATTCCTCATTCGTTTGTTCTGCTTATCAGTACAATAATTAGACTAAACAAAATAAGTAGCCTTTGACTTGTGTATTTGGTTGAAATGGACTTGAGATAACGCTTATCCATTGAGACAAATTTTTCTATTTTAGACAAATAACCCTTAACAAAAGAAGCCCAAGAGCTCTCTATTTGTTTGTTAAAAAAAGAAAATTGGGAAACATATTTTTTGTGGTAACTTTTCCCTTAAAGAAAAAAGGGAGATTTCCTTAAATAGGACTAAATAATAGCAAAATTGCAACAATAGGAGTTTTAAGTTTAAATTCCCAAAATAGGACTAACTCTTCTTATTCCACCCTTTTCCTTATCATCATTCTTAATACGGAGTACGATTTTTTTTTAAATAATAAAAAACATAAAAAATTATAAAATAAAAAATAAAAAACGTATAAAACAAATAAAAAATATACAAGTCTCAATCATCACCTCAACCACCTTCCAGCGCTGCCACCTCTGGCTGTCGGGAAAAAATGTCATTGATGACAATATTGAAAAGAAAGCTGAATATTTTCAAAGAGTAAAAAAGTCATCTTCATGACATTTTCATAGGAATGTGACATTTTTCATTCAAGGTGATTTCGATAAAAAAAACGCCAATATGGAGGAAAAGTGTCTTCAAATTCGGCATTTTCGATAAAAAAAAAAAAGCCAATGCAATTTGACATTAAACAAACACCTATGTTAGAATATGGGTGAACCATCATTTTCCAAACACGCTCAATATATTACAAGGATGGAGATTGAAGGATAAAATAAGTTCAACTCTAAAAAAAAGTGAAGCGGAGCATATTTGAAAGCATTAACATTAGCCTAAATTATAGTATGACGATAATAACGTCGAAGAATATCTTGAGCAATTAATTTACAAGAAATTGCTCCCAATAGAAGTAAAATATAACACATTTTCCTAAATAGGAGTTAACTCATAATATTCCCCAAATAGGAGTAAACTTTATTTTTTTTACCAATAATACCGCTATTGTAATTAATTATTGCCTCCCCTAGTTCCCTTGGGCAACAAGGGTAGTCCGTGGGTGTTGGTAGCGGCGGCAGTCCGGTGGTGGCAGACATCGGCGGCCGGCGGTGGAGCTCCGGCGACCGGCGGAAACCTCTATTCTAATTAATTATTGTCCCCCTAGTTCCCTTGGGCAACCAAGGCAGTCCGTTGATAGCGGGGCAGTCCGGCGACGGCCGGAGGCAGAAATGCTTGGAAAAGTCAAAAAAAAATCGGGAAGGGTGGTTGTTGAAGCTCTGGCGAAGTCTGGCCGGCGGCGGTACTGTAGCAGCAGTCAGTAGGCAGCAACATGGAGTGGTATCCTTGTCCATTTAGAAAAAAATACTCATATTTTGAAAATTTTAAAACTCTACTCCTATTTTTGCATAACTCCTATTTTAGTAATTGTCCCTTAATTTACAGATAAAACTATCAAGAATATAATTGAACAGAAAGTTTTCGATCAATGAATTGTCAAGCACAAATTGGGATTTACACAAACGTATTAATTAAGGTAATCTAAAGTCTAAACAAGAATTCAAGTTCAGTATAGGTGAATTTACCCAAATTCAAACATAAACTAAAAACCAAGTAAACGACTAATCTAAGGTGATCGGCTACGCAAAATTGGATGATGTGAGTATGGGTTTGTTTGGTTTTCGGCGGATTGGGGCAAAGACGTTGCATTTTGCATCGTTTCCCTTTGAAAGAAAAAACAGCGGTTTAAGGTGACACACTGTAATTATGTAAAACAAACACCCCTATGAATGAAGAATTTACTACCAAGAAATTAATTCGGAATTGGACAAGAATAAAATAATGGTGGAATGTCATCCAATTTGTACACTTTTTATTGGTGCTTAACAATTTTGTTTGCGTACAGTCATTGAAAAAAATCAATGTCCATAGACACAAACAAAAATTTCGATGAATATCCATTTATATTTTTCTAAATGAAAGTGGGAGATAATGGATTAGAACCCGTTTGATGATCCAGTTTTTCGATTTATTAGGCTTATCAATAAGTTTTTTTTATCAAACACATAATTTTTTATTTCGCACGCTAAATTGTGTAATAATAAGAAAAAGTAAAGTTGAAGTAAATTTTCTGGCAATATTGGCTGAAGTTACTGTAGATTATCATTTTAGCTATTTTTTCATATAATTTTTTCTCTATTGTATTATTAAAAATATTTTAAATACTACATTTTTTTCTTTCATAAATTAGCATAATCAGTCATTCAAATATTTCAATTAGAACTTCATAAATTTCACCAGAATAAGTCGATTCGATCGACTAAGGATGTTTTCTTTTGGACTGAAATTTGCTGGTCTGGTCTGGTCTGGTCTGTTTAAGTCTGGTCTGGTCTGGTCTGAACTGGTCTGGTCTGGTAAACGCCTGGTCTCTGTGTATTTTATAACTACGGAAGTCTGGTCTGGTCTGGTCTGGTCTGTTTAAGTCTGGTCTGGTCTGGTATGTTTAAGTCTGGTCTGGTCTGGTCTGGTTTGTTTAAGTCTGGTCTGGTCTGGGACTGAAAACAGTCCAAAAGAAAACATCCTAATTTCATGTTATCAAACAGACTCTTTAATTAGTCTGGTGACGGATTTCACCATGTATATGTGATTTCACTTCTTTACCTACTTGTGACGGATTTGTTGCAACTATAACAAAAAAAATTTAGTGCATTGATAGTTTGATACGATTAAAAAATCGTCCTAAATTATGGTAAATGATGGTAAACACTAAGAATATCTTCAGCAATCATTGCATTGATAAAAACATTTAAGAATATAATTGAACAGAAACTTTTCATTTCATGAATTGTCAACATAAATCCGGAAATATACAAACGAATATCGATAATCTAAACAAGAACCCAGGTCGCGTTTAATCATGTGTGCATACCCGAATTCAAGCATAAGCCAAACCTCATAAACGACTAATCTAAAGTCAGCTACACAAAATCGGATCATGGGAGTATGGACTAAGAATTTTAATTACAACCAACAAATTAATTCGGAACCCTGACAAGAATAAAACTAGTCGAGGATTTAGGGACAAACTTCCACATTGGGACATCCTTCTTCCCAATATCATCATCTTCATCAGGACGAGGATTAGTAGGATGGCTGGAAGATGCAGTGGAAGAACATGAACTCTCGCAATCGGAGTCGAATTCCTTACCGCTGTCCTCCGAGAACGAAACCGAGGCAGAGTGAGTGGAAGAGATAACATTCCTCGACGGTTTCTTCACCGGAGCAATTCCTTTCGGCCAGGACCTTCGGGCGAAAACTCGGCGGGGTCGTAGCACTCCGAAGACATCGGTGAGCGCAGGAGGGACTTGATGTGAGCGGTTAGCGGGCTTCTTCGTTACGGCTGCGATGGAGGAAGCAGGGAACGTCATTATCGCCATATCAGTTCTCTTCTGGATCACTACTACTTGTGAATATTTGGAATTGCATGTGCAGTCTGCAGTGCCCGATCACATTTAACTAGGTGGAATTAAGTCCTTGTTTACTTTGGATTCAGCTTGATGGGTGCTTCACTTTTTAGGAAACATTTATGGAACTTAAAGCTTGGGCGTAAAGTATCCCGTTTGATTGCCATCCAAGCACTAATTTTACCACCACTGGTGTTAGCCGCTTAACTGCGCAGTTATCTTCAAAAAATCAATTGACTGCCTTCCCGATTGAATTTTTAGCTGCAATTTGGTATGGATAAACTAGACTTAATGAAGAAGATGCTCAAAAAATTTCATCAAATAATTCCACTGGGAACCACCCCAATTGGCGACGGCCGGGCAGAACCTCCTATATAAGGGGCTAATTGAACACTTTAAGTTAGTTCATGTACCTATTTGACCCTTTAGCCTTTATTAATTTTCAAATGTGAAGATAAAGTTTTAAATTGAGGTATCTTGCCATGGATGAAGTTTTTAATTGTAGCGGCAAAATATACTGCACAACCAGATATTATAAAGGAGTGTTTGCAATTGCTTCTACTTTAAAAAAGTGGTTTTTTTAAGTGATTTTGAGAAAAATGTTTAATGGTAAAAGTTGTATTGTTTGAAAAAAGTGAATACGAAAAAGTAAAAGTTGGTAGACTTGGTAGTATTTGATAGAATAAGTGTTTTTTGTGTAATAGAAAAAGTGAAAAGCAGTTTAAAGCACCTCTCAACCAGTCAACCTGTTTCCATCTTTTAGCTTTTAAGTGATTAATTAATTTAAGTAGAAACTATCATTTGAAAGCACTCATTTCAGCTTTTTTAAAGTCAAAAGCTGAAAAACACTTATTTTAATTTTTAGCAAACACTCCGCAAGTCAAAGGTTACGAGTGGGGTGAGCTATTTTTTATTTGGAGTTTCGCCGGACTGTTTACCGGAGAGTTGAAGAAGATGACTGAGGTGATCGATGTCGACATTTCGTGCCTGGTGGGATCATACAAGCCTGTCCAATTGTGTTCCCCGCGTTAACCGGTACGTAGGTTCTGATTTTTTGATGTTTTCAAAACAAGAAGCGGGTCGGGTTACGCTAGGAAGGAGCTCGATCGTTGGGGTAATAGCCGGAGATAAGCCGGATTTTGCTGAATTAATTGCCATTTGGGGTTCAATGTATTTTTGCGGATGAGGACATGTGTATAAAAATGAGTTTTACGTTAAATGCAAATGAGTAGAAAGCTAAAAAAATGAGCATACACAAATGAATATATGAGCACATTGGAGATTTCAAATGATCTTTTGAGTTCTTTGATACTCATTTTGTGAGTTAGCTATGCTCATTTGATGCTGATGTTGTGCTCATTTTAAACTAAAATATTCAATTATATTCGTATATTAAAATTCATAAGAGTTGATTATAAATATTATTTATTAAGAAATATTTATAAAAAAACTAAGAAAAAAAGAAAGTGGTTAAGAATTTATGAAATTGAGATCATGATGCTCATTATTAGACTACGAATACTCAATAGAACATGTTTGATATTCACTAGATGTGAATTAATGATCATTTAACAGAAGCCGTGTTTTTCACCTAAATTATGAAATTGCCACCTGTTGTACAAAGTAAGCCGCATAGTTGACTCTACGTACCGCATACGAAATCAATTGTAGGGCGCCCTCCAAAATGATCCGGTAAATTAGCAAAATGTGTAATGTACAACTGCTGGCAATTTCATAAGTCACCTTTTTTTTTGCAAGAAAAATAATTAACTTCCATTAATCAAATCATTGTGAAGGATACATGAAATGAAAGAAGGGGGATAAAAAAAACTAAGAATGCAAATCAGACGTGGAACAAGAAGGGGGCTTTAGTTAGGGGTGGGATCGGGATGATCCCGATCCCGATTGCCCAAATCCCGATCCCGTCCCGATCCCGATTCAAACTACAAGAGGATCCCGTATCCCGTCCTGATTAAGTCGGGATCCCGACATTAAAATCCCGATTAAGTCGGGATCCCGATCGGGAATCCCGCTTAATCCCGCTAAATCCCGACAATGAAGTATCAAACATAAAATTATGTAATTTCTTTAGTTAAACACTAACTTTGATATTCTTTGTTCATTGTGATACCATATTTATCATCATCTATCTACTTATAAAATTTATTCTAATAATTATCATCACAAATTCACACTAGTACATACTTTTAAAATAATTTTTATTTGTAACTTCAATTAATTAATAGTATAATTTTTGAATAAGATATCAAGGCTTAGTGAAACTTACTTCAAACATTATATAAAAATCACTAAAAGAAGGATGTGTAACGTATATTATTTAAAATTCAAAACTAAGTAGACTCATTCAGAAACTTTGTGACCAATGAATATAATGTATAAATACATATTATGATTATTTACTAAAGAAAAAAATCTTAGTCTCAATCATGATTTTTAAAGGGTTCATCAGAACCGCAAAATTTGTAATATTGTTGTGATTTAGATTGTCGGGATCAAGAATAATCTCTATATAGTTAGGATCCCGAATATTCATTTTGGGACAAATGCCGAATAGTTTTAGAAGTTTGATAATGTAAAATACTCGTAGTAAAAGATTAATCTATGTAAGAAATAAGTAATTAAAAAAGATATGAAATTATTTAGATACATATTCATTTTTATATATTCATATATATATATATATATATATATATATATATATATATATATATATATATATATATATATATATGTATATATATATATAGGGAGCAATTCCGGTAAGAACAGATCTTAGGAGAAAAATGAGAACGAATCTGGACCGTTGGATTGTATTATGTGGAACCAAATTATGCATTTGGTGAAACTGAAATGTGCATTAAATGATATTGAAATGTGAAAATTAAAAATTTAAACTCAAGTGTGCATTAGATGAAACTGATATGTGCGAAAAAAAAGTACAAAAATAACATCACATCGTACTTTTTATTCTGCACATTTCAGCTTCACCTAGTGCACATTTCAATTTCACGTAATGCACAATTCAACCGCACATAATGCCACTCTAACGTACCCTTTGTGATGCACATTTCAATTTCACCTAATGCACATTACAGTTTCATCTAATGCACACTGAATTTCACTTGAAGCAAATCTAACGGTCCAGATTCGTTCTCATTTCTCTCATAAGATCGTGCTCTTATTTGAACCAAAACCTATATATATATATATATATATATATATATATATATATATATATATATATATATATATATATATATATATATATATATATATATATATATATATATATATATATATATATATATATATAATGTCGAGATGTCGGGATTTTCCCGATCCCGACTTTTTTAAAAAAAATATCCCGGTCCCGTCCCGACTTAGTCGGGATCGGGATTGTCGGGATCGGGAGTCGGGAGTCGGGAGTTTTTTTCCAGCCCTAGCTTTAGTAATGTATTTTCTAGATTGTTTTAACTAAATTTCATTTCATTGGCCAAATAAAATATATATCATTCTTCCCATTATTATGGGCTTCTAGAATGAATAGTTATTCCCCAACTTTAATTTAATGGTCCCCTGAATTTGTTATGGACCTTTCTCTAACAGTATGCTGGTACTAAGTAAAGGAGGATAGTTCCTTCATGCTCCAAACAACACTTTTTGAAATTATTGTTTGGCTCACTTACTGGCCATTTGGAGTTAAGTTCAGATGTTTCAAAAAAGCAAAATTAAAACATTTATATAATTACAAACGTGTTTGATCTTAAAAATGTGATTTATAGATCCTAAAAAAGATTTGGTACCTTTCACTTTGAATTTTTCTTAATTAATAAACTAACTAATTGAAATTGCATAAATCAGCAATGTCTTTGTGAGCAGCCTTCATAATACTGAAGGTAATCATTCTTATATTAATATCTTCATCTTTTCCCATATCTTTAAATTTTACATACATAGTATCACATCATATCACTTACACGTTTACTCAATGTTTCTTTATTTTTTAGTTTAAGTATACCATTAGAACCATGGTGGATAGATCTTGGATGTATTCTGCTCCAAGATCAAGCGAACAGTTCATAAATGGAGTGGAGAGCTTTATCAAATTTGCTTTTGACAGATCAAGTCAAGATGGAAAAATTGTATGCCCGTGTAGGAAGTGTTACAATATGTTTAAGACACGGGGTTCCATCCAAAAAGTTCAACCTGTTAGGAGGAATAGCTCGAAGCTTAATATAGCACTCTATTGCTTCTCAATTTTCCGGTGTGGGACATTTTAACACCCCTCCTCACGACCAGACACTTCGTCTGGATCGTGTCGTCATTCATTTTTCATCGGTTCGGAAATTTTTTTTTATCGTGTCGTCATTTTTCACAAGGGGCCCCACACCATGGATCGATTTATCTCTGATACCATGTTAAGACACGGGGTTCCATCCTAAAAGGTTAACCTGTTAGGAGGAGTAGCCCGAAGCTTAATATAGCACTCTAATGCTTCTCAATTTTCCGGTGTGGGACATTTTAACATAATTCAATATGTAATGGATTCGGAAATGAATACACAACTTGGGTAGATCATGGAGAACATCAAACATCATCATGTTCAGGGTCTGTGCCTAATAATGTAGCATATACTTTTAGGCTTGACACACATGAACTATTAAATGATTTATTTCCAGTTGATTGTCACATGTTGATGCAAGAATATCTACCTATTGCCCTAAGAGGAACATTGCCAGATAATGTTTCATCAATTATCATTGAACTGTGTGATTTTTTTAAGGCAATTTGGTTGTAAGGACTTGTCTGAACATGACACCCAGTTTCTTCAAATGAAGGTTACACTAACCTTATGCAAAATGGAGAAAATATTTCCTCCTTCTTTCTTTACTATTATGGTGCACTTGGTGGTTCATTTGATTGAAGAATTGAGGATGGGAGGTCCAGTAACTTATAGGTGGATGTATTCTTCTGAAAGGTAATTGATTTTAAAACAAATTTCATTTATCTTAAATATTAACTATATTTGTTCTTAGATAAACTGTCATATCTTACTTTATCAATATTTTTTCAGGGAACTTCTCACACTGAAGTCATATGTTCATAATAGGGCTTATCCAGAAGGTTCAATCGCTGAAGTTTATTTAGCTATGGAAAGTTTAACATTTGTCTCTCGCTATCTCTCCGGTGTTGAGACATTATTTACTCGGCCTGTGAGAAATGATGATGAGGGTGAGCAAAATGAAATTGAAGAGTTAAACTCACTATGTCCTGGGCGTCCATTAAGAAAAAGCAGAGATTGTAATGTATCTTTTCGGAAGAGAAAGAGAGTATCTCGTAGTGTGCTTGACGAGAAGTTGCAGATACAAGCACATCTTTATGTCTTATTTAATGTCGAGTCAGTTATGCCATTTAGAGAGTAAGTGAAACATTTTTCTTTATATAATTCTTTTTCCTAGTTTTGAACTCTTTCCTGACATGTTTATCACTAATACTAATTTATTTAAGGGAACATAAATCAATCGTTAAGAATAGAAACCGTTCACGGCGACGACCCAAACGTTTTGAAAGACCGTTTTGAAAGACTTCATTGCCAAGAATTTAATGAATGGTTCCAAAAAAGGGTAATTTTTATTATATTATGTTATTGTGTGATACATTATTTTAATCATATACTCAATGTTATGACATTCTGCATTATTATTGCATGTATCTCGTTTAGTAGAAGAAGGTGATGCAAGAGTGAGTGAGGAAATTAAATGGCTTTCTCTTGGGCCCCACACCTCTGTAAAGACATATTCTGGTTATTTTGTTAAAGGGTATCGGTTCCATACAAAGGATCATGAGAAATTTTTGAAAACACAAAACAGTGGCGTTGTTGTAACGGTAAAGGGTGAATGTTATGCTAGCTCCCGTGATAGACAACCAATTCTTGGTATAATCAACTATTATGGCTCACTGAAAGATATAATTGAGTTGAACTATTCTGGTAAACTACGAGTAGTTTTGTTCAGATATGATTGGGTTGATGTGAACAAGAGGTGTGAAGCGAGATGATATGGGTGCAACGTTGGTTAACTTTTCGTATTTTGCACACACATGAACAAATTTACTTGATGATCCCTTTGTTCTAGCCTCACAAGTCGAGAAAGTCTTCTATGCTAGAGATTGCAAGTCTAGGATTGGTTGGTTGTTAGGCATGTCAAAGTTAGGGATATGTCTCAAATGGGAAATAATGTTGATCATAGTATACATACGTCAAATGATGCAATATTTGATGTACCAAACTTGCACAGAGTTGGAGTTGATGATGATAATGGAGTTGATGTCACTCCAATGATGGAACAAGAAGTTATGCATGATGAAGATGATGAAGATGACGAAGCTAGCATTGCTATTACTTAAATTGATATAGTTCTTAGTAATTAAGTTTATTTTGTTGATATAGTTCTTAATAATTAAGTTGATGTTGTTCTGTACTGGATGTTCTTATAGACTTTTTATTGGTGATCACCAATAAAAAGTCTATGTTAAGTATAAAAAAGTACATAGAGTTTACGTTCTCATTGCAATAAACAAATTATGTATCTGCTCCCATTAGAATTCACTTTTAGTTAACAGTTATACCAAATTATCTTCAAATGTTCCAGCCCACCCTAAATTTCATTTTAATTAAATTATTAGTGTAAAACAAATTTGTAAAAAATTGACCAAAAAATGATGTATACCGGCTCAAGCCAATATCTCGCCCTGCTTACGCCATTACTTAGGTTTGACACGAATTGTAAGAAAATACAAGAGAAGTTTTTATTTTTCTATTCTAATCTCAAAAGTAAGAAAAATAATGATGAGTTCACTAAAAGAAAAAGGTGAAATGATAAATAAATTAAAGGGATGAAATGAGAAAGTAAAAAATTAGCGGGTTTAGTTTTGAAGAGTGTTCATATTCTTTGGACAATCCAAAAAGGAAAACGTATCTAATAAAAGGAACCGGTGGGCGTAGCTTAACTGGTAGCGAGGGAGTGCCACAAGGGTGAGGTCCCCCTGGTTCAAATCCCGGCAACTGCGATGAAATGTTACTATGCTAAAAATGCATAGGGCCTCTGCAAGTACCGGGGACGGAGCCCCACTCTCTATCTGTCAGATTGTGATTATAGTCCAATTTAAATCCTCTCATCATGCCGTCCGGTCGGTGTTGGGGCTAGGGGTGGGCAAACGGGTCTTGGAACCGCGGTCCGGTCCGGGTAATGGCGGTTCGGGTCCAAAACGGGCCGGTTCCAGTTTTTGTTGCCATAAAACGGTCCGGGTAGGGTCGGGTAATTTTTTTTAAGGAACCGGACCGGTTCCAAAATTAAAAAATAATGGGTACCCGGCCCGGCCCGTTATATATATTGTATATTAATTTATTAATAGTTTTGTGATAATCGGTTTTGAAGTAGTTTTGTTTCCTTTGCTAGAAGTAGGATTTTAAATTGAGTTGCAGTAACATCCTTTTGTTTTCAAATTATTGATTAAATGTTTCATAAATATCTTATTACTTTTTATTTTTATTGAATTATTCCTTTCTATGGAATTTAATTATTTGTTAAAAATGATTTTGTTATATATTTTTTATTTTATTGTTCTTAAAATATATAAATTGTGTTTACCACCCACCATGTATGTGTCAACTTTGGCTAATACTGAAAATTTAATATATAAAAAAAACAATCACTTTAATATGTGATGTTAGACAACATGTTTAAATACAAATGTTAGAAAATATGTATTTTTTGCCTATGTTGCATATTTTTGGAATTTCTTTAATTGTTTGAAACTTATATACATGAAATTATGGAGTATTGGACTTGTCGCTTGTGTTACATGTGCACCACTATGTTGTTATTTTGAAACTTGCTAATATCCTATATTATTAATTATTGATTTTTGGAACTTCGTGAGTTTTTACTAATTTCAAGACATGAGAATAGAAACCGTAAAACCCGGACCGGACCGACCCGTTTCAAACGGGCCGGGTAATTTCCGGTTCCTATTTTGAAAATTGTAATACCCGGACCGGACCGAACCGTACAATGGAACCGGCGGTTCCATTTTATTTTGCATTACCCGCCCCGACCCGGCCCGTGTCCAGCCCTAGTTGGGGCCCCCTCAGTGATGAGGTGTCATCCTTTTTTATATCTAATAAAAGGAAAGTGCTGGTTTTGTTCTTGAAATTTTGGCTAAATACTAGGTGTGTCTAAAAAAACTAAGTGTGTCTCTCTACAAAACTTGTGTTGGCATGTGTTGGCATTCTAACTTTCTATCAGAATGCAAAAAACTGAAGCACAATTATTTCAAGTACTCCTCAACTATAATCAGTGTTGCATATCAATTCTATAATTTTAAAATATATGTAATGAGAAAAGGGAAAAGTTAAGTATATATAAGGTTTTTCTCGGGTTGGTTGGTTTGGATTTTTATTTTTTTTACTTTCTATTCTTTGATTTTCATTGTTTTTCTAAATAGAAAATGATGATGATTATGATGATGATGAAAGATTAATTAAGATCAGAAAACCTTTTTCTACACAAACACTGATATTGGGCATTATCCTCTCGCTTTATTATAACTAGTATAACATGATAAAAGTAAATATATTTGGGGACGGTGTTACAAACCAGTTTAAGGGCGGGGACTCAAATTCTCACCTTTTTCATTCCAATATTATAGCTAAAAATAGGAAACAAACAATTACCTCCATTATAAATGGTTGAGACTTTGGTCACAGATTGGAGAGGCAGTTGTGACCTTTTACTTTAACCTTTTTGCAGTTAAAGGCAGTGTTGACCCTGAAAATGTCTTGCAATACATCCCAAATCTGGTTATTGATGAGGATAACCAAATGTTACTAAGGCTTCCCAATGAGGTCGAAGTCAAAGAAACTGTTCGGCGTCTGATTCGGAATGATAATTTTGAAAAGAAACCTAGATATTTTGTAAAAATTCATCTTCGTGACATTTTCAGAGGAATGTGGTATAATTTTTCACACAAGCTGGTAGTGCTGGGAGGTGGAGGACACGGTGACAATGGTCTACATATTGTTTAAATATTTTTTATATATTTTTTTTAAGACTTTTAAAAAGATTTTTTTTTATATATTTATTTTTATTTATTTTATTTTATTTAGTCCAAATTTTTATTAATTTATAAATATTTTATTATTTTTTATATTTTTATTATAAATAAGACTATGATTTTCTTATTAATAAAATAAATCTATTAGAAGTTATAGGAAAGTAATAGAATGAGAAGAAGAGACCTATGTTAGTCCTATTTTGAGAATAAGAGAATTGTAGTCTATTGTTGATTTTTGGGTTAATTTTAGTCCTATTCTTAAGGGTAATGCCCGAAGAAAAAAAACTGTTATATGCTTAAAATAGGTAAGTGCGAGCATTGTTGTGATTATGGATTAAGATATATACAGAACAATAGCGTATAAGGATGTTTTCTTTTGGACTGAAATTTGCTGGTCTGGTCTGGTCTGGTTTGAACTGATCTGGTCTGGTCTGGTAACGTCTGGTCTTTGTGTATTTTATAACTACGGAAGTCAAGTCTGGTGTGGTCTGATCTGATCTGGACTAGTCTGGTTTGGTCTGGTCTGGTCTAGGACCGAAAACATTTCAAAAGAAACCATCCTAATTTATCCCTAGTTTGTGCCCAAATAAAATTTTATCCACCCGTTTAATTAGAAGTATTTCAAAATTCAAATGAATTACGGAGTAAATTTTATCCCACCAAATAAAGGTAAAAGTTCTCATTCAAGAATTCATTTTAAACGTATTATTGAGGTAATCTTAAGTATATACCAGAATTCAAGTTCAGCATAGGTAAATTAACCCGCATATATACAAGCATAAATTAAACCAAGTAAACGACTAATCTAAAGTGATCAGCTACACAAAATTGGATGATGAGATGAGTATGAATGAAGAATTTACTACCAAGAAATGAATTCGGAATTTGGACAAGAATAAAACTAGTGGTGGATTTAGATACAAATATCCATTTTGTGGCATCATCCAATTTGTACATTTTTTACTTGGGTGCATAAACATTGAAAAAAATAATCTATATACACAAACAAAAATTTCGATCAATATCCATCTGTAATATTCCAATAATTTTTGAGTGGCTCTAAAACTCCACCCCCAATAAATTCTAAAAAAATGATAATTGTAAATATCATGAGGTGATGCACATGAAAGACACTGGGCGTGTTTGACATTCAGCGGATAACGGGTTATGTTGGCGAGTCGTTAATAGCGGTTTCGGTTGGTTTAACTAGCGGAATAAAATGACGGGTTGTCAGACGATGTTTACCAATTTAGTTGTTTAGTTATAAAATTATTAGAAAACGTCATTTTTAAAACGCTAACCCAAAACCCTCCCATTTACAGCGTTTTCATTTCACTGTTTCTATCCAGAAACGCCGGTGCCGAATAACTATTTACCAGAAACCTTTTTCACGTATTGACAACACCAAAAATGGTAAAGTTGTCATTTTTCGATTGCAACGCAGTTTACCAAGCTCCCCCACTAAACATGTGAAGTACTACGTATTAATATAGTGAGGTAAATGAAAGTGAGCGTCTGCCGTCTGGTATATGTGATTTTACTACTTCGTGTATGTGTGACGGATTTGGTGCAACTATAACAAAAAATGTATAGTGCATTGCAACCATTGAAAAATCGGCTAAAATTATTGTATACTTAGTATGATTTTAACAATTAAGAATATCTTCAGCAATCAATGCAATGATAAAAACATTTAAGAATACAATTGAACAGAAACTTCTCATTTAATATTATCAAACATAAATCCGGAAATATACAAACGAATATCGATAATCTAAACAAGAACCCAGGTCGCGTTTAATCATGTGGGCATACCCGAATTCAAGCATAAGCCAAACCTCATAAACGACTAATCTAAAGTCAGCTACACAAAAATCGGACCATGGGAGTATGAACTAAGAATTTTAATTACAACCAAGAAACTAATTCGGAACTCTGACAAGAATAAAACTAGTCGAGGATTTAGGGACAAACTTCCACATTGGGACATCCTTCTTCCCAATATCATCATCTTCATCAGGACGAGGATTAGTAGGATGGCTGGAAGATGCAGTCGAAGAACATGAACTCTCGCAATCGGAGTCGAATTCCTTACGGCAGTCCTCCGAGAACGAAACCGAGGCAGAGTGAGTGGAAGAGATAACATTCCTCGACGGTTTCTTCACCGGAGTAATTCCTCTCGGCCACGATCTTCGGGCGAAAACTCGGCGGGGTCGTAGCACTCCGAAGACCTCGGTCAGCGCAGGAGGGGCTGGATGTAAGCGGTTAGCGGGATTCTTCCTTACGGCGGCGATGGAGGAAGCAGGGACTGTCATTATCGCCATATCGGGTTTCTTCTGGATCACTGTGAATATTTGGAAAACTAAGCTTGATTAAATTTATTAGGAAACATTTATGGACTTCGTTTGATTAAATGATCAATTCCTTGGGCGTAAAGTATTTCATTTGATTGCAATCCAAGCACTTTTACCCTACTACATTTGTGCGTTCCATATTTATTAATTTTCAAATGTGAAGATAATACGAAGTATAAAGTTTTTAATGGTAATGTACGGTATGTACCTGCTATTACCATTTCTTATAAATAAAAGTATTTAATTTTCTTACATTTGGGCGAGATTAACGCATAATGAACTGGCATTCTTGTAATTTAACCAATAATTATAAAAGTAGTCTGTTTGAATAGAAGATTTCGAGTCCAGGTAACACTAAAATTGACTGAATTGGCTGATTATGCTGAAATTTATGAAGTTCTGGCTGAAGTGACTGATTCTTCTGATTCATTACTTTTTCTGCTTACTACAAAATTCAGCGCGCGAAATAAAAAATTACGTGTTTAGTGAAAAAGCTGGGTGATAAGACCGATAAGCCGAAAAAGGGGTCACCAAACGGGCTCTTCACCTAGCTTTTATTTTTTCAATCAGAGAATCCTTCACAAGTTCAGAAATGTATTCATTAGGATAAGCCAAAATTAAAATAACAATGTCCGTGACGAGGTCGTAACAAAAAACATATGAAATAAAGTTTAGCATGTTTTTAAATATTTTAATTTTTTCACTAATCTGCTCACTAATGTTTTCACTAATCTAACTTGTATGTTTAAATCTTAGTACTAGATAGTTTGATCTGGTCTAATCTGATTAATTTTAATATAGTCAGGTCGAGTGTGGTAATTAAATATGGGTTATGTGTATTTTAGTATTATCTAAATCTAATTTGACTTGTTTAAGTTCGGTCTATGATATGATATGCACTAATTAGTAGTGCATAAGTGTATGTTTTTATGTTTGATTTGTGTGTATTGTTTATCATTTTATTTAGTTTGTAAACATTTGTGTGATTTTAGTTGTAATTGTATTTTAATCTTCATTTGTAAGTGTGTCATGTTTCTTTTTAGAAAACTTTATGGGGTTTCCTATAAATATTACGGTGTACAATCAAGAGCGAATGTTTTTTATGTAAAAGAATGTGTGTCATAAGGTAATAATTTAGAAAACTAAATAGTAAAATAGTAAATATAAATATAAAATCGTAAATATAAATATAAAAGTGTACAAAATAGTAAATATAAATATAAAAGTGTATGAACTCTCGATCTTTACGTGGAGACCTGAAAGACAAAAACCACAACACTTTTTGGGCCAATGTCCAAGGCACTATCATTTTCATTAATACTCTCCTCACCATTACAATGTACAAGAGCTCCCATTAAAGGAATATTCAAACTATTCTAGAGAGAATAGAGTTGAGGAAGAAAAAGCATCTAAAGAACCATCATTTACATGGATGGAAAACCTCCTACTTACAGAAAAAGAGGTAAGGATAAAATCTACCCTAATGGGGCCGCATGGGGCAAAGTGGGCCAGATGGGCCGAACTGAATTGAATGGGCTGAAATAAGTCTCATCGATCGGGCTCTATGATGGGGTAATATCTTGAGTTCCTGAATGGTAATAGTCCGGAATAATATATTTTAAAACTATGAATGTAATTACCAATGTATTATGCCATCATTAGTTGTTGTTGTTGTCGTCACTTTGTCACTGCTGCCGCAGCTATAAAGTTACTAGCATCGGCACGCGCGTTGCGCGAGTGTCAGTGCCCAATGGGGGAAAATAGGCAATAAAGTAGCACAAAATTAATTATCTAAAGAAGAAGGAAAAATAAAAGCCAAACCGTGTGTCCCACATGATTTTCACATTAAAAAGTTTTATCATCAAGTATAGAACCCAGTTTGCTATTTCTCCCATTTCTCCGTTCACAGAAAATAAGTGTGTTACTCAGCACAATGCAATAAAGAATCTTTGAGAGTAAAAAATAGGGAACAATACGGAAAACTTACTTGTGCCTGAGAGCGCTTTCTAATAGGGGCGAGTGTTAAGACTGAAATACACAATAAAATATTAAAACATTTTAGCACACCAGTAAAATTGTGGCAAAATAATATTTCAGGCTTCAAATGAATACAAAATGGGTACAAAATCATATTCACTTGAGAGCTTTATCTTTGCTGTGAAGAAAGACAACATGATAGAAATCTTGTTTAGAAAATTACACTTTTTAAAGCTGCAAGTTGTAAGTTTTTAATTATTTGAAACCAATGCAGTAACAATATATAAAAAGAAACTTTAAATAGAAGGCTAAAATAAAAAAATGGAAAGTAAACATGAACATCCAATCTCAAATTAATTCATCAAAATGAACTGAAGTAAAAAGTAATTCCAAATTAATAGAGGAATTTAAAATCAGAAAGTAAAGATAATCCATAAAATGAAATCACATGAAAGAAGATAGAGAGTGAAGTTGGACCTTAGCAATTCATGAAGTTACAAATAGAGTTCTATTTACATCTGTATAAAGAAACCGATTAAGAGAAAAGTGTTAGTTTTATCATAGTTGAGAAATAGAAGTTCCAAGCCAAATAAAGCCTCATAAACCCACAAAAACACAAGCATGACAAAAAAAATCAAAAGCAAAAAATGAATAGAAATCAACCTCATCAAAAACTGATTGGGTTGTGATCATTGAACCAATTGCACTCTAAATAAATAATAAGCTGCGCATGAAACAATAAGCCAGACAACCAACTACAGGCTACATCAAATAAAACAATAAGCTATTCCTGATATTAGTGTGCACATAAACATCTGAACTTACATGTATAAACCAGACACATGCATTATTATATAGGAAGTCACACTGTCCAGTTCCTCAAATTCAACCAAATGATGATCTTGGAAATTTGATACACCAAGACAATAAAAAAAATCCAAAGATCTTAAAAAATTACAATCTTATGCAAACTGAAAAGGATAAATAAAAATTATCCTGTTGTAGGAAGGGGCTGAAACGTATATCATAAGACCTATAACTGAACACATTGCTTCTAAATGGTGTAAAGCAGTATGTCTATGTAAACATTTTCTCATGCTTATTAAAACAATCATCAAAGAAATCATTTACGAATGGTTTTGAGAGAGAAAATCAATCATACCTTAAGAATGGAAGATCTCCTGAATTCATTTGGATAAGGAACCATGAGTGAAGAAGAGTTTGAAAATATTTCTATGCAAAACTTCTCTCTGCACGAAGAAGAAACACTCGAGCAGCTAGGTCGTGGTTTTGATTATGTTGGTGTGTACTGAAGAAGAAGAAGAAGAAAGGGGTAAGGAAGCTTTCGTATAAATGGAAGTTGTGAGTCTCTTAACAAAACCTTTTTTTCTTTGGCTACTAAGGAAAAATTAGAAGCTCATTAGCAGAGCCGCTAGAACAATGGGTATCTAAGATAAATGAGATTGTAAATCATTGTAATGGAAACCTAAAGATCCCAAAAAAAATTGTTTAGCAAAAATTGTAAACTGGATGGACTAATTAGATTGTACAGAGTATAACTTACCTCTCTACATCTTATCCCTATTTCTAATAATTCCTTTGTGTCAAAAGAGCAGTCACTATTGATGGAATGCTCAGACATCTGAGAAGAAACAAAAAAGAACAAATGTACACATTAGTTGAGTAATACATACTTACAAGATGATATTGCACACGGCACACCTGAACTGATCACTCTAATTGGATAGTGGAAACCCATCAGCCAACCCCTTATAAATGAATCCCAACAACACTCTTTCTTTCCAACTCTCAGATCCATTCCAACATCTAACAAACACTCCACTCTCAAAAGAACTCAGCTCAAACTTCCATTACAAACAAAACACAAAGTACAGATAGTGTGTATGGCTATCAGATTGCTCACAGCCATTGTGAATGCCAAACAATTTCACACTCTTTACCCACTTAGATCAACAAACCATTGAGATGTTCCAAATGGTCTTTTTGCAATCTATGCTGGAGAGACTGAGAAGAAGAGATATGTGGTGCTCATAACATACCCGAACCATCACTCACTTCAGAGCTTGCTTAAGAGGGCAGAGGAAGAAATTGGGTTTGACCATCCCATGGGAGGTCTCACAATTCTCCCTGCAAGGAAGATACTTTCATCCATCTCACATCTCAACTCAGCATAAAAAATTGAAAAAAGCATATGGAAAAAGGGTTAAAATAATGAAAAAATTCCATCAAATAAGAGACATTTTGATTTCAGCTATATACACACACCAAAATTTATCTCACATTTTTAAAGTAGCGGAAATGGAATAAATTGGTAATGTAGTAGGAACTTAACCTAGAATTGTTCAATTACTCCAGATGGATGTGAAACAACACTGATTTATTCTAATATTAAGCAAAAAATATATTGAATACTAACCTGAGGATGGGAGAGAAGATTGAAGGGTGTTTTTCGTAGAATTGCAGTGAGCCGCAACGTGAGAAAGGCACCATATGATTGTGAAGTGTCATCCTGCTTTGTTAATGTAATCAATAATATTTAGAAAGAAAATTATGCAAAAGGGGGGAAATTTACCAAGGAGGAATACTTCATTTTTACATCTTGAAGGAAAATTCCACTTATGAATTCAGATGGTTTAAGAAATAACTTCTACGATATCAGATGAGCTGAAAGCCTAGAATCAGGTATGGGACGTATGGCACTATGGCTAGCTGTTTGTTCGTATGAGTGTAAGTTTGTAACTACAACATAAATTGTTCCCGTTTATTCGCATATTAGCTAATAGGAATGAGGGATTACTATAGGTTTAATAATAATAACAATGATGATGATAGTAATAGTGATCTGATAACAACAACAATAAAATTAGAGTCTTTTCAAAAAAAATCCACATAAAAAGATTAGTAGACTGATTCAAGTGTGTGAAGGTATTTTTTGAAACCCCATTTAGATCAGCCTAAACTAATTTGTTTACTTACCCAATACCCAAGCTACTTCCCCAAATTACTCTAGACCCTGGACTTCAGCTAATAAAGTAAACAAAGCTAATTAATTGTAGAAAAGTAATAAATGTACCTGGTGACTCAGGAGGGAGGTCAAAGATACACCTAAGAATTTTCGTTTCTTACTGGCGCGAAGAATCCGTCGG